GCCTTTGTTGGCGTAGGCCCTATCCGGGCGTGTACATCGACGGGGTGTACGCCTCTTCTGATTGGCTGATCCTGGTTGGCGTGTTGTGGGGGACAGTGGATGGTGTCACTGCGGGGTATACGTCTAAAACTGCTTGGACTCGTGCACAGTGTTTCTGCGTCTTTCACTCCCACGTGGTTTGGTTGCCATTTTCGTTGGTTGTACGTTTTGGAGATTTCACGATTCATACTTTACTAACTGTTGAAACATTTTGAAGTCAAGTTAAAACAGTGATTATCTCGTCATTTGTTAGTCACATACTGTACATTTGTGTGACTGTGGAGACTAGTTTCCCTTTGTGCATCGAGTGGAAACATCGTATTTCGTTATGGCGAGGAATATTGCAAGTGGTTCATCACTCCCAAGAAGAAGGAAACTGCAGTCTGTTTCATTACTGGAAGAGTGGAGTAACCTCTCCATGGTCGAGCTCTGTTCTGAAAGATTCGATGACAGTTGGGTTGAGCCTGAACAACTCGAAGAGAGTAACAGTAACAGCAGTGACAGTTCTTCTCCAGGTTCACATTCCCTTACTGGATATTTCACCGTGAGTCAGACTGCTCGATCTGACAAGACTCGCCCCCTTACCGATACCTTGAGCTTGGTTAAGAAAACGCACAATGATGTAGACTACGATACTTGTTCTGTTCAGGACACCTTCGAGTGTTGTGCGGAAATAAGCATGGACGGTTTAAATAATGTGATGAATGGTCTAGAATTGATTGACAATCTAAATGTGAGTGCTGTAGATACACGCATGAAAAACTGGCCCAGCGACCAATATTGCAGAGTCCCAGAACGTCGTAGATTCCAGCGCCTAGAGAAGCTCAACGTGACCCTCAACACTGGCCTGGTAAGTTCAAAGATTTCATGTCTGTCTGTCTGCTCCATGAAAAACTCTGTAACGTACAGAGTAACTGGTTATGTAAATGCTTTTGTATTTATTTCTTCCTTTGGCCATCAATTTATTTTGTGTTCCCATATTTGAGTCTGTTTGTTTGTATTTTATTCTATTTCCAGTTCTAGTTGTTGTTTTTTTATGAGGTATCTGAATATGCACACTATTATAGCATTAGTCACTAAACAGCATTATGGACTGTCTGGAAAAAAAATAACCCTTAATTCTTATAGGAATGTTCCCCAATTTAAACGTTATTACTGTGCTACTCCTGTTGTCTACTTTATCATGATCACTTTCACACGTGTGTGTGTGTGTGTGTGTGTGTGTGTGTGTGTGTGCCTGTATGTATGTGTGTGTGTGTGTGTGTGTGTGTGTGTGTGTGTGTGTGTGTGTGTGTGTTTTAAACATACAGGGTACGTTTAAGATATATAAGTGGGTGGTTGGCGGGTACTGTGGTGTTGTTTCTCCTTCTTCCCTATTAATTATTTGTCTTCCTTATCTCACCTCCTTCTTTTGTGTTTGTTACTCTACTTTAATTCCTCTAACATTCGGCACCTGTAAGCACTAATTTTCCTGCAAATGCCTCAACACTCTAAGGAAAACACAAAAAATAACACGCACACATGTTCACGTATGTATTTTAACTCCCAGTTTGCAGACATTAAGAACGTTTCTTAAACACTGCTAGTAAACTCTTCCTTTTTGCGATTAAATAGTTCTTGAATAGTAGTGGTTAAAATTTACCCACCCCTACCCGACTGTCCAAAGAAATACCTAATTATTTCACAGACCTTGTCGATTAAATGAAGCAGTCCTTTTTCTCATCTGGTATACAAAGTTAAATGTATTATATAGATGTTGAGTGAGTCAAAACGTTGCAGTCAAAACTAAATACCAATTCTTTAGACGGTATCCTTACTAAGGAAGCATCGACTCTGTTCACAACAATTTGGCTAAAAAAAGAGATTGCGTGTTCTCTTGTAAAATCTGCAGTGCCTCCAAACTTTCAGTTGAAAAATCCCGTCTCTGAAAAAAACACTTTAGTTTAGAAACATTCCGTTACTTGACAAGCACAGCGTCCATATAAATGTTAAAGAAATTACAATAATTTTCAAACCTGATATCATGCCCTCTAGACTTTTGACTAGACTAGTTGTGTGAAAAAGAAATTAGTCTTCCTACGGAGAAAAAAAGAAACCTCCGCCAAAGAGTTCTGACTCATTTGTCTGGTTGAAGGTCGAGAAGGGACAAACGCATGTTTTATTTTGAGTTTTATGTCCAACAAGCAATATTATTAATATGCATTACCTGACGCAATAGGATGATACACTTGAACTCGAAAGTGAAAAACCCTTACCTGAATGCTGACAATTGATTCGTAGGACTTTAGAATGAACTTCAAATATATTATGTGAAAATACGAACGTCCAAGAAGTTATTTGGTCGTTCCTTTGTGGTGTACTCAGCCTGCTTTTTCCTCCGGTTGAAAGATGTAATGAAATAATTGAAAACAAACCTGTTGGATCATGTTGGACGTTAACCAGTCGTACCCCCCCCCCCCCCCCCTTTACCTCCACAACAAAAAGGAAAAACAATAATTACAACAGCAACTTTAATAAGAACACAATGTTATATTTAAAAAATCGAGGCCTGCCGTGGTTTGAGAGGTTTCGGTGTTCGACACTCATTCAATAAGTACTGTGTTCGAATCCAAACAGCGACGAAACATTTCCTTGTTCTCTAAATGTTCTTCTTTCACCTCCTTTCCTGCTCTTTAACATTATTCTCTCGTCCCCTTTCGTCTCCACTTTCTGACCCCTCCTCTCCCCCTCATTTGCTCTTTCCTCTGGTCTCCTGTCTCGTTCTGAAGCCTTTCTACTAAGAAGAAGAAGAAGAAGAAGAAGAAGAAGAAGAAGAAGAAGAAGAAGAAGAAGAAGAAGAAGAAGAAGAAGAAGAAGAAGAAGAAGAAGAAG